AGGAACAATTAAAAATGAACAAAAAGCATTCGAATGGTATTTAAAATCAGCAGAGTCTGGATATCCTCAAGCACAGTATAATCTTGTTCTCTGTTATAAAAATGGCGAAGGAACAATTAAAAATGAACAAAAAGCATTCGAATGGTATTTAAAATCAGCAGACTCTGGATTAACTGATGCAGGATTTTTTGTTGCCAGGTGTTATGAATTTGGAATAGGTGTAGAAAAGAATGAAGACAAGGCATTTGAAATTGATTTAAAATGTGCTCATTCTGATAATATGTTTAGCCAATTTTTATTAAGATTTAGTTATGAAAGGGATCTAAGAACAAAAGAAATAGAAAAACGTTTATTTAACTATCTTTTAAGTTCCGCTGAAAATGGCAATTTTCATTCAAATTTTCGACTTGGGCAATGCTATGAATACGGAGAAGGCACCATTAAAGATGATAATAAAGCATTTGATTGGTATTTAAGGGCAGCTGAATCTGGACACAAAAAAGCCCAATTTAATATTGGAAAATTCTACCATTACGGAATAGGAATTTCAAAAAATCTCGAAATGGCTTTAAAATGGTATCAAAAAGCTAATGAGAATGGACATGATATAGCGGCTGAAATTGTTGAATCCTTTAATTTTGAAGAAATTTTTCAAATTGGTAGTTAAATTTTTTAATTTTATCATCTATTTTTAGAGATTTTTAAATTTTAAATACATTAATTTATTAGCTCAAATTATAATATACTTTAACTATTTGAAAAGGTAAAAATTACTCAAATGAATTAAAAGTTTATGCAAACTGGTAATGTAAAAGAATACACTAATCATTATTATGATATATTTCATATAGTGGTTCCAAATGTAAGAAATGATTATATAGACATGAATTGAAATTAGAAATTAAAAAATGCTTCAACTTAGATAGTATTGATAACAAGTTAGATCAGCTGAAAATATCGAGAAAAAGTTTCTTGTACAGATATAAATCCGTTGTCTCGATTTTTTCTGAAGTGATACAAGTTTTAACGCATATAGCATTAAAAAACTACGACAATAGCGGATATCCGGATAGTATCATCCGGTTTTATAAAACCATCCGGTTAAATCGGATAACGGATGACCGACCCGAAATTGTAAACCGAATCAATCCATCGGGTGACCCGTAAATCCGGAAAACCGGATATATCTTGGTTTTTTACGGATAACCAGTTTAGAATAAATCTTTAATTTTCTCGTACCTGGGATTGCAAAGGAGTTAGTTAAATCTACATATCGATAAATTGTTGTATTTGAGTTTGGTATATTGACGTTTCTTATATATTTCGTATAATGAAACTAAGGATTCATTTCGGGTTCAACTCAAGAAGATGGTGATAAAAATTCCACAAATGCAGCTGTATGTCTCCATACGTTGCTTTATTTAGTGAGTTCATTCAATGGATGTTGCTATATGTATTTTTATAATGTACATACATACAGATAAAATTAAACGTATTTAATATATTCCTTATATTAATATAGAGAATTCGAATTGTACGAAATTTAATAATTCAGTTTTATTTGTTAGCGTTTACTTATTCTTGTCATTCTAAATAGAATTGCTCTCTTTGAAGTAAATTTACTGGTCATATTTTTGGTCTGTTGTCTTTGAAATATTACACGTATATACTCAACTGGCTTAGAGTCCTTTTGGGGTTCAGATTTACGAAACATCCGTATTAATTTATTATAATTTGTATAATAATCTTGTATATTAATAGTAAGCTTACATTATAATTACATGCATTAACAAAATAATTATAAAATAGTTCATACAAACTCATCTAAATTATTATTCCCACTTCCAAAATATGGCTCAAAATACCTATCGTGCATTATATACATTGATTTAAACAATTGTAACGCGTAGACAGCAACCCATCTAGGCACACGCTTTTTCAGTTTCATTACAATCATAACCAACAATATGATAATCAAGAAAAGTGGAAAGAATAGAATATTAAATAGTACTTTTCCTATTTTTTTCCTGGTAGTTGTTATTTTGTATGGAGCAATTTTTCTAGCGAGGTATGTTTGATAGTTGTAATTCATGTTATGTTCGCGTGCTCCTTCTTTCAATATGTTGAGGTACCTAAAAAAGGAGAATTTTAATTAATATTGAATTAATCAATCTATTTTTTTTATTCATTGCATTAGAAATACCTTTCAGAAGCCTGCAAATCTCTTGAGATACTTCCTGGTTTCGAAATCAAAGTTTTTGCGACAATTTTCTCTCCATCATACGTCACGCATTCGACCTCAAGTTCCTTATATCCAGTTGGAATATCATCCCATCCCCATACACCTTCAGTCATTAAAATCTTCTGATATTGTTCTTTAGTGATTTTGTAAAGTATACCTTGAAGCACGGGAGGTAATGAATCCATGGGATTTTTTTCGTCCCATTCAAACGGCATGCCTGTATTACAACGACGATGCACTTCCCAGGCGTATTCTCGTGTTATTATCGGGTGGCTACCATCTGTTGGTGTTGGTGGAGAGAAATGAAGGATATTTCCGGTGCACGGTTCAACATAAGGAGTTCCTCGGAGATCAAATGATAGAAAATAGTTGGGTACGTGGCATGCACGCGAGAGTTTGGGCTTTATGCCTCGGAATCCGGTTAATGTTTTTGTGCTCATGTTACTCCCGTATGCTTTTAGTTTGATGTTATTTATTCGAATAATTAAAATTCATTATTCATTCAGCAAAATTCTGTTTTGTTTTAATTACCTAAATACCACAGATAGTTCTTTTCATCTTCATTTTTTTCTTCATCTTTTTCAGGGCGAACTTGAATTATGTAGTTTTTATTTTCATTTAATCCATACACCTCGCGTTGTTTTCCGTTGTCATAAATGTAGATTATATTAGACGTGTCATTCTCTTCATTATTGGAAGTAAATGTCTGGGTGGTAGCTGTGAGTAGATGTGTGGTTTCTGTTGTTGATTCCATTATTTAATAGCTGCGATTAAAACTTCAATAACTTTAAAATCAATAAAACAAAATTTATGAGATAAATAAACAATAAAATTGTTAGGAATATAAGGATAATTAAAGTGAATTAATACATGCATACAAAATGAGTTGAAAACAAATATAAAAATTGTTAGAATTATAATTTACTTCGCTTTGGCATTTTATAAAAAAAAAGAAAGCAACAATAGATAACCTATTATAGAGGCAAAATTACGCAATCTCCGTTCGCTTTGTTCACTAAAGCAATGGAAGGGAATATTACTGTTTTATTACATGTACTATTTAACAATAAGCTCACCCGGCCCGACTTGTTTCCGGGGGATAGACGGATGAATTCGGAATATCTTTTTGTATGATTAAATTTTAATTGTACAACTTGTAATATGTGAGAAATGTATCGCGTGTTCGAAGGAAACTTGAATCGTAATAATTCATTAAAAAAATCTAACATAACACTAACTCAAAATGTACAATCGGGAAAATAAACCCCTATCTTCAAATCTATATTGAACGACGTCAGAATCCGGGTAACCGCCCAATCAATGTGGTTGAACAAATAGTAATCTTAGAAATGTTCAAAGTTGCGTCTTTACTGGCGAAAGAAGGGAATTTTCATAATGTGTATTGAATTGCTCTGGATTTTCTTTACGTTTATTTCATTGGCAAGGCTACGCAAGCTTGTGTTGCATTTATTCCGTATCTTAAAGAATTTGTACTCTTGTAAACTACAGGTGAAAATGATGACTCTATCCATAGTCCAATATAACTAATTGATTGCGCATGCATTCTCAAATGATGGTGCAACAGGCTTCGCTATCTTGTCGAAGCATGCAAAATACAAAGCTTTCATTGCATTATTCTGTTTTAATCATCAGCTTCCGGAATCGGAAGCAACTTCACTTTTTATAGTCGCACAAAAAAAGCCATAAAGTTTTTATAGCAATTTTTGTTGAATTATTGTATTTGCTCATTTAGCTGCCATCAGATAAATAAAATAACTTTCATTTAGTTAAGCTTACACATTAGCCGAGTAAAATCGATATTCTTTTTCATTATACAAATGAATTTATTATTAAAATCAAGGCTTAAATGTTGTTTTTATTTTTTAATTATAATAAATTATTTTGCGATTTAGCAGTTTTACTGTATTTGATCTATTTAACAAAGATAATGTAGATCCGGGTATTCCTAATTCGTTTTAGTATCGGGATATTTGTACCATGGAGTGTTATTTCGTGTTCTTACACTTAAAGATGCCAATAAAATTATCATAAGATCAAGCAAATCTTATTATTAAAGTATATAGGCATAATAAAAAATCGAAGTTAGCACAAGAATCATCTCGTAAAAATTTTATAAGGTGCGACAATATTCTTTAAATGATACATTTAATTCTCATAACTTTTTCTCAAAAATTAAAAAACTAGTATGGTCTAGTGCAAAAAGATTGATACATCAGATAAATATTAATAGATTATTTTTTCAAAATAAAATTTTAATTCTGTCTTATTTCATTAAGTTATTAGGTATTGGGATTTATTTAAATGTAAAATTTTTTTTATTATACAGTGGCGACCAAAAGTAATGACTCAGGGGCTAAATTTATTAATAAAACATAGTGAAAATTGAAATTTTCTCTCT